TGTAGAGATTTCGGCAGCGCTTCCCGTAGAGAAAGACACTTGCCAAGATTTATACAAAACCAAATGTACGAAAAGATCTCAAAAAATGCAAGAATTGATCTGAGTAAAAAAAAAGTTACTACAGAAAATGCAGGAATTGACACTAACTCCTATAGCTCTAGCACGTGGCGAGCGACTAAAGCAACTACCTATCAAACTGAAACTCGGACCAAGTAGTAACCTCATTGAGTCACATGCAAGCCAAATCACAAAGGTAAGTACTCTCACCAACCCAAGCTCATCTGGGCAAACAATAGTTCATGATCTTTCAGTAATTTAACCCTTTATACCCAGCTTACATAAGGCATAAAGTCAGGTCACCTAAACTTATGGAATGTGTCTAACTTAGCCAAAGAGTATATACAAAACAGAGGGCACAACAACTTTTCTCTTCTTCCGGCATATAACTAGACCATTCTTTTCGCCCTGAACTGTTTAAGATATCTAGGTTATATATATTTGTCTTCGCTTTGTCTTCTAAGGCTGCATAGAACTGCACTAACTCAAGTTCAGTCTGCCCCTGCTAACCATCAATTTTATTCTTAATTATACTCTCTTCAAGGTTTGATAGGCTATAGTCAGACCACTTGAACTTATAGAACGGTCTGATTAACTCGTTCTTAAATAAAATAATAATAAAGTATAGCCAAGTTATAACCTGGGGTTCCAACATGTGCGAGGCTTTGAGCCAGATCCCCTGAACTCACAGAAGAGTGCAACTCTCTTTCAGATTTGTTTCTATCTGAGCCATCATGTGTGTGGCATCGAGTCAAACCCCATGAACTTACAAAAGGGTCTGCCTCTTTGCCAAGATTATTTCTTCTGAATAAAGAGCAGGAAGGGACAGAGTCACCTGAACTTACAGAACAGCTCGGTCCCCTCGTTCAGAATCCAAAGAAACAAGCAAAATCCCAATGAAAACAAGGCAACCGAAGACACCAAAACTTATTGAGCACCTCGAGTCCCTAAAAATCAAGCACAATCAAAACCCCTCACAGGTCAGAGCAGTCAGGCCACCTGAACTTACAGAACAGCATGACCCTCCATGCAAACCATATCACCGGGTCTCCACAAACTTATGGGGACATCCCAGCCTCCAGAGCAATCAGGCCCCCTAAACTTATAGAAGGGTCTGACTTCTCCATGCAAAACCATAATAAAACAAAGCACTGAGTCTCCCCAAACTTATGGGGATTTCCCAGCCTTAATGACCCTGTCAACCACTAAGCAAAACAACCCTCCATCCTGCCCTTTCCCCAGATGCGGTCCTTTTCAGCAATCTGAATTCACACAACCAACAAAAGTGAAACTGAGATTTCACAAGCATTCCTTTATTTAGTCTGGGTTAGTCTCCTGAAAGTCAAACCAAAAATAGCATAGGGCTTCACTTCATATATTTAGTCAGCGATGCAATGGGAGGTACAGGTAGGGGTTATAACTGGGTTTATGGAGGGAAAACAAATGGTTACCTGTCAATTTCCTGCCTCCAGAGCCTCGCCCAGGCTCCGGCAGAGCTCCCGCAATCGGTGGGTGGACTCCCCACAAAGTCTTGCTGCGGTCCTACGGGTTGCAATCCCGCCTGCCGCCTTCCTCTCATAACCACAGGACTAGACTAAGAGTAAGAAGTAAAGAGAGTAGATAGGTTTGAAACTCTAAGATCCAGGAGTGGTGCGCTCAGACTCGCAAGAGAGGGCCTTGTTACCTTGATGCGCCTGAGGGCACCGCAATGGTGGCCGAATGACACAGCAGCTAAGTCAACGCCGGAGTATCGGAGCTAGTTCTCTTACGAACCTTCAAATTGCAACAAACCTTCCTCCCCCGACTCCGTCCACCTTCTAAGTCTCAGCGCCGCCGCGCCGCAGGCTGTAATAGTCAGCAACCAGCCAGTCATGGTATGGAGCAATGTACCATAGTCAATCAGTGCGCAATGGGAATACTTCCGCAGTCAGCCGTAGCTCATACGCAGTCAACAGACGCAGTCTGTGCCAGCAGCAGCGGTATGTCGCAACCTTGTCCTTTGCCCCTTTGCTCACTCGTACCCATGCTTCCAACGGAAGCTCGCCGCCATTCCGGCCTTCCCTGAGCAAGCTCCTAGAGGAGCCAGGTATCCAACGGCCCGACTGGTCGTCCTCCCGGCTCGGCGTAGTTCGCCGCCTGTCGGGTTCCTTTAAGTGCATCCCCGTTCATCCCTCTCGCAACGGCTCATGAGTGGTGGGCGATGCACTCAACCCCTCGTCCCGAGCCAAGTAAGTATCAATCCCGCGGCTCACCTCTTGCCGCNGCAACGGCTCATGAGTGGTGGGCGATGCACTCAACCCCTCGTCCCGAGCCAAGTAAGTATCAATCCCGCGGCTCACCTCTTGCCGCTCCTATCCAGCAAGTAACCAGAATCTAAAGAACCTACTGCTAGATAGCGGGAATGTGCACTACTACCTACGTACGTTGTGTGTGGGAGGGAGCCCGTGAGAGAAAGCTCCTTGTTGGTAGGAGGGGCAGTGTCCAGGTAACAAGCAAGTCTCCATATTCTCGGCCAGGCCCACGCCCCCTGCTCCCATCAGCAATATGGGCAAGGGGAAGTCGGAATGAACCTTCCCTAGAAGGCGGGTAGGCTCATTCTGCCCTTTTATACAGTAATAGATTCTTCCTCCGGGCGCAGCCCATACACGTTACATCACAAAGACTACCCCCTAATGCCAAAAACTAACTCCAGAGGATGATTCGCAGCCATGAAAATCCCCCGAAACAACTCCTCTCTCGCTCGTTTTCATTGGGAAACGAGCGAGATCTTAGCTTTTCTCACTCGGCCATAGCCACTTTTGCGAGGCTTCCACGCACCATTTTTCTCAACTAACATCTGATCCAGTAACTTACTACTAAAACCGACGCTACCACTGACTTCGCCCCACTCCTAACCCCCAGTTTCGCATCTTCTCCTGCCCGAATCCATTACGGATCGGGTGAGTTGAGCGATTCCAAGCCCCGTTTCTCTCCCCCCTTCTCCCCGCCATAGCTCCCCGCCACCTCCTTTCTACTAACTTTTCTATCTACTCACTGTCATCTAAAACTAACCTCCTAATCGAGGTTGCCCGCCTCCAAAACCTCCGGGTAGGTTCTTTCCCCGCCCGATTTCATCAACGAACGGGCGGGCTTGGCTATCTCCTCCCCGCCATCTTCATTCCTCCACGTCCCGAATGCATCCAGCACACCCCGCCGTCCCGATTCATCCACCTTCATTGCTATGCCCGTCGGCCTGCTGCATCAGCGCCCGTAGGATCTCAGTCCGTCGCTACCACCTCCTCGTTGGTCTTATCTCCGTCCCCACTGTCTCAGCGCCCGTGTACCACCTGCACTCCGCTCCTCCCTGCTGCACACGCACCCGGCGCCGGCGTCCCGATGCATTCGTCCTCATAGCCCAACTTTCTCTGTGCGCGCCGGGGTCTTCCCTATGCCTGTCGCGGTGCTATCCTGCTGCCCCCGCTGTGCGGTCTCGCTGCGCCTTGCCCGCTAGCTCCGCCTGCATCTGGCTCAGCAACCCGCCCGGATTCACCGGTCCGCCTCTGCCTCGCTCTCCCCGATGCCTGCCCGCTCGTGGCCGCCCGGTAGGCTACCGCTCCGTCACCATCTCCGTCTGCGCTCGCTACGCTGCCCCGTTGGGCTCTTTTCCCTTCTCTACACTCGCTGCGCCGTCGTCCGCTGCTGCTAACGCAGCGCTCGGCTGTACCGGTAGTGGGAGTGGTCTCAGGCGAACCTCCGGGGATGCTAGTTAATAGTCGGTTTGACTAGTCCTCAGGCCCTTCTACCCAAGCCCGACGGGCGACTCCCACGACAGTACCGCTGCATGCCTCCTCCCTTGCCTGCGCATGCACCTGCCACAGTCCACCGTCCCGGTTCACCCCTTTCTCCTGCCCCTCTGCGACTCTTCCAAGTCCAGGCGGCCACAGTGTCGCCTTGCCTTAATGCATGAACCTGGCCCTGCTTCCGCGGTTCATGCGTGTCAACCCTGCGCAGGGGCCACGCGGATCTTTTCCGTATCGTTCCAACCTTTAACGGATGTCCCGAAGGACCCCCGCTTCGCAGTACCCCGCGGCTCTGCAAAGTGGCCCGGGTAATCCAGAGTACGGGTTTCACGTCACCAGCCCCATCATCTGGGTCTGAACACTGGCCTGTACTTCAACAGTTCATGAGTGTACCCACCGAGACGGGCCTTTTAGTGCCAGCCGCGCCCACGGCACCGCCACGAAAACAGTTTGTAATTGCACTTCAGGTAGTCCCGCGAGTCCCACACATCCCATGCGACCCCACCGCAGTCTCGCGCTCCCGAACGGGATGCGATGAACAAAACAGAAAGGGGAAATAAAATAAAATAGCAACAGTGTCGGGGAACAGCAGGGCTGCTGGCCCCTCGCCGGCCCCGCGGATCGGGCCCGCTGCCACGCCTTCGAACAAAATCGAGGTGGATAGCCTTAGCAGCCTTCAAACCCATCGGTTCCATCCGCGACGCTCCACTGCAATTGCTGCGCCGATGCCCGCTAGCCTCAATCCCCGAACCTCCGTATCATCAACCCAATGCCATAACCTATAGGGCTAAGCCCAAGCCTGAACCCAATATCCGCAGAGTGCCATATAAGGCAGTGTGGCCCGACGCTTTGGGCCAACGACCGAATGCGCGGCTCCTAATGCCCGCGCCGGCTTGTTTATACCGTGCCATAATCGCCCCGCGCGCCATCCTACGACACCCCGTTTACCGCATGAAGTTGAGCCGTCGCTGTCGATGCCGTTGTCAGGGTCGTTCTTCGCACGCGCGCCCGGCTCGCTCAAACATAGCCGTCGAAAGAAGATATCCCCTAGATCCTAAGGATAAAAATAAAAGCTTAAGGATAAAAATAAAAATAACCAGACCGGCGCCCGTGCGGGTTTCGTAATCAACATTAAGGGATGAATCACGCGCGCATTAAACCTGCGCGCCCTCGTAGTCTTTACTCTAGTCAACCATCCAGTCAACGTAATTTACGAACGCGGCCGCGCCTAGCGCGGTATACTTAACTTTGAACCAGCTATATCTGTCGCTTACAAAAAAACAGGGCGGATACCCTTGTGAGGGTATTCGCACCGACACCGTGCTTGGAACCTTTTCATGCTCTGCCCCACTTACACCCTCCACGTCAGCTCTCCTTTCTCCCACGGTTGACTCCGAAACTATTTGCGTTCCTTGACCAGTGCATTCCATAAGCATTGGTCCTTCCCCCCCATCTTTCTCATGTGCACTTTGCTCCCTTGTGTCTTCATCGGTGCCTTGCGCCTGTGCAGTGATGACAGTCGTATCGTGTGTTCCTTGCGACTGCTTGGAATGCGAATCGACATTCCCTGCCACTACCTTCATTACCTCATGTGCCTGAAATTTTGGCCCTTCTTCGTCTGATGCTTTTTGTCGCTGGTCCTCTTCAATCTTTTTGTCCTTCCCGTCATCGCCAATAACTTCCCCGCCTGCTGTTGGTGTTGTCTCACTTCTGGCTCCCACTGCACTGATGCCTTCCGACGGTCCAAGTGTTGGTTGCGGTGTGCTCGATGGCCGCTCACTGAACTCATCTCCCATTGCGTTTTGCATCCTGAGATGCCCTTCCTTGTCTGCCACACTCTCGCCACCACCTCCTGCTGCTGCTGAATCGATCTTCTTCCTTGCACTTGTGTGTCCCTCAAGGCCTTGACTCATCCCACAAGTATGTCGCTGTCATACATAGAGTCCGTTGCACGGTAGTCCAGAGACCATATGACAGCTCCATACGATGTACTCGATTTCTTGTCGTAGAACGCAGCGCAATACTCGAGAAGGTGATTTTCACGCAGGAATTCGAATAACGAGTTCACTTTGTCTGATATTTTGTGGTCTGGCGCCTCACTTTTCGCCTGCTTCACGCGGGTAGACAAGTTGTCCTTTGTGATTTTATACAACCTGCTCCTGAGGACTCTTTTCCTGAACACCCATTTCCCACCCATTCGGATAGCCATGTGCCATCCGCCATCAATCACACAAGGCTCGAAAAGACCTGGATGCCATATGATGTGATGCCCCCAGTCGTGTTCATATGACTCTTTGTACTTTGTTTCTAGAAAGTGAGGTCCTCCTTTCATCTCCTTCATGTCATATGATATATTATCACCCTGTGCAAGTTGTTTGGGGACGTCGTCCGAGATGTGAAAGCGGTGATCATCCTCTATTACCATCCCATCTTGGTCGTCCACTGATTGCTTGTCTGCACATGCAACATTTTGAGTCCCGCCGTCCGCCGCTCCTTCTATGTCATTGCGAACTCTCCTCACCAGCGAAACGAATCCTGGGGTAGCTTCCTTCATGCTGCACTTGGATGTGTTGCCTTCCATTGCACCACCTGTTTTTGGCGTTGCTCCACGCATCACATTATCGGGCCTAGTACTCACGATAGTGCCGCCAACATCTTCCTACATCGCTTGTTCACCACCCATAGCGGACAGCGGAGGCGTTTGGTCTCTCACTGCATTTTGATGTGCATCCGACAATGGCGGGTCAATCTCCTCATCCTATGTCTCCTCCTCACTGTCCATAATGTCAAACTGCTCCCCAACGTCCATTACCTCGCAGTAAACCTTGATATCAATTTTGACTCGCTTCCTTTCAAACCACAGGTGTTCACATCGGCTCAGAAATATCTCAATTGCACCACGTTTGGCGTTGCGATATCCTTGTAGATGTTGGATCGCTATCACCTTACGGTGCATATAATCAACATCTATTGGTGTTGCGGGTGCATTGCAGGAAAGATAGCTCCACAGAGAGTCCCTCTTCTTGCCGAGCTTCAGGAACATGTCTCGGTCTGCACGATGTTAAGGTTTCGTCCGTTCAAAGTGACACCTGTTATCCGGATTGTGAACGTGGTGATCGATAAATAAAGTGGAGTACTCCATCAGGTTTGAGGAACCATCACATGCGACGACATGGCGTCCTGAGCGCAGCAAGTCCCACGTTGTTCCTGCCTGAACTTTGCCTAGTAACAGAACACCTTCCCCTTCTTTCGAAAACCAGGTGCACAAGTCTTTCATCTTTGCAGGTTCCCTCTCCCATATCCCGTACACAGGTTTGCTATCGCCTCGCACGCAGATTGCCTCTTTCGTACACGTACAAATAACTCCTCCACGTAATGTGTGTCGAAGAGAGTGTTCCCACGAGGCTTTGTGATCGTGACCTTTTTCAATTCGTTGTCTGTATCGTGCAGCACAATGGTCATGGAGTCGCGCCCTCTCAACGGAAGGTTCCCAAATGGGCGCAGGATGATGCTGCTTCGCTATAACGACGTCAGCGCCTTGGAAGAACTCTCACACCATCCCACCTGAAGACGTTCCTCAACACCGTTTCCTCGACTTTCAATGCGCTGAATATGATTAGCGCCCAATGCGACCCGCACAACACCGTCATCATTTGGCGGAGCTCGTGAAACCTTTGCTCGCTCCATGCGTCGAGATTCTTCAACGGAGCCAAGTCCAATACTGCAAGGTGACAACTCAGCTTTCTCACGACACGAGTCAAATCTTCTGCCGGGTGCAGTGCATCCATAGGTGTGATGCAGACAGGAAGATACGTCGTGTGATCTTTGCGCTTGTCCCACATTATGTGTTGAGCATTTGAGCTGATCCGTCTCAACTCGTCCCTCAATTGCTCAACTGCACCAAGAATCTCATGCACGAAAAGTTTGAGGAAGTACGGACACTCCATATATATTGCAGTCGTCACCTTGTACCCCCCGACATTTCCTTTTCCTAGTCTTGCCTCATCTACGCCGCCCAATCGTTTCGGGACATCGATAGTCTTCTTTGCTACGATGTTGGACTTGGTTTCTTCCCATTTCTCTATCGTCAACCCTCGTGGTGCAAACCGCCTCATTATGGTATCGTAGTCAATGAAGAATTTGTCATTCCATTCCCCCTCCGACCTCTGCTCTATCTTGAAGAGGACATAGTTAAACATGCGAACCATATATCTCTCCCTTCGCACCTCCACGTACAGGTTTTTCATGTTCATCAGTTTTTTCACAAATGCCATTCCGCTCGTGACGACAACGTGTCCCGCAAGTATTTTCTCGAGGGCCATCTCCTTCTCCCTTGATGTGAAATCGCCGAACACCTTCCATGTGCTCGCGGGGGGATCATTGATGCAAACATAGAAACCCGGTGAGCTTTTGTTGGACTGGACGTAGATCACCAACACTTTTTTGCCTTTCACCGTCTTCGCTGCATGCCCGGTCCTGCCGCCTCACCTACTTTCCCTTCCTGATCCACTGGTCTCACGCCAACCTGCCCTGGCAATTCACCTTTTTCCTATTTGTCAAAAAATTTCTCAACCAGATTCCACACAACCCTGCCGCTCGCCGCAAGACACATGTAGGGCCTCAAAAGGTTTGACCAATTCCTCACAAATCTTTTCGCCAACGACTGGTTCTAGAGCGAGGTGTCAGGAGTCATCCGTATAGCTTTCCATACGAACTCCTGATATTAGTCACGGCTGTGCAGTCCTCTCTTCCACCGTCTTTGCCTGATGCCAATCACCTTTTGGCTCTTTCATACTCTGCCACAGTCCTCTTATAGCAGTCACAGCCATTCGAAACGACAACGGGATAGCACGCGTCTCCCTGGTGTTGTCAAACGTGGAGATGTACGCATACCCCTCCAAATGGTCGTCATCAAAATACACAACCCGCGCCTTCCAAGAATGCACGCCCCACTTGTGGGCAGCAGACGGTTTTGCAGCGACGAGCCTCTTTGCTGCCTCCGCTGTATGTTGACCAGCCACTGTGTACCAATGGTAGGAGGCAACCTCGTCATCATCCCAGTCCTCCGGCTTCACACGTTCCCACCGCTTCCGGCCATCCTTTTCCACTTCAACGACAGGAGCAAGAATCTAGGTGTTTCTGTCCCACTCCTTCTACTTTTCGGGGTGTTCCATTGCGTCCGTGATGGAGGTGACCAACATCTCATTCAACGGCCTGTGGTTATATTGCATGCCTTTTGAAGGGCTGGGCAGTATTTTGACCACGTCAACAAAAACTTGGGTAGGCCGATCTATCGCATTGCCGTCCCCGTCGTATTCCAGGAAAAAATATTTCGTGGTGTCGATAGTGTCGTTGGTCAACTCTCCAGGCTTTGACGCTGTATGTCTCGGGTCGACCCCCGCCGCTTCGTCCCCAGTGTCCGCCATTTCCTTTGTCTCATCGGCCTTTGCTTTCTTCTTCGGCCTCTGGGAAGATCGAGTGCGTTCACGTTTTTGCTTTGCTGGTTTAGCGGATTGCGCCTCTAAGGATCTCTTGTAAGCCTCCTTTGAGGCGTGTAGGCTGATGAGCTTAGCTTGTCTCCGCTTCTCTTCCTCTGCATTCCCACATCTCATTTTTCTCTTGCGCATGCACACAGACCTTTGTGTGCCATGCAACACATCGTCATCTTCTGCCGGACCATCATGACTAGTGGCACGGGAAGACTGTTCCCGCCTTTTCTGCGACCCTCTATTCCCGTCGTCGTCGTCGTCCACCCCACCCTCATCTCCTTCACCCCCCCCTTCGTAGCTGTCCTCCCGTTCTGCGGCCTCCTCGTCACTTGCATCCTCATTTTTTTCTTCTTCACTCCCATCGTCTTCGTGCCCACCATCCTCTTGGCGTTCACTACCATCGCCTCCGGCGAAGCCATCCTCCAAGCTTCCCTCTTCATCGTGTGCACCGTCGCGGAACCGCTGTTCGTCTTCGTCCCCTTCCGTGTCTTTCGCAGCATTGCCATCGGGCCACCGCCCATCGTCTGAGTTGAAGAAGCGCGAGTCCTCCTCAGGGTTTTCGTCGTCATCCTCATGGTCAGTGGCCCCACCAGGCGGAGTCAAAGAAACGCGTGCCGCATATTCTGCATGCGATGGCGCCTGCGTCGCAGACACATCCTTCGGCTGGAGCAGAGAAGCTGATTTGCTCACGCTCTTTGCCTGTGTCGATGCGGCCCCACTTTTGCTCATACAGGCGGATGTTTTCGGCTCCCCACAACTCTTGCCCACCGCCTTTGGCGAGCTCACAGAGACGGTAGCTCGCAAAACGGTTTGGCCCATCGCCTGCAGCTTGTGACGTCACACCATGTCTGCGAAGTCTTCAAGATCACAATGGAAGGGCACGAAGGGATTTGACAACTGCAGGTTGTTGTCAATCGTCATGATATGGTTCGACACCTTATAGCAATTAACGCGCTTGAGGAACTCGAACGGCCTGAGCATCACCATCTGCGACGCATCCTTCTTCTTGGACTTGTCGAACGGAGGCATTGATGCAGCTCGGATGCCGTAACCTTGGAACTTCTCGGCGCGGAGAGACACGAGCTTGTAGTTGTCAGGCACCTCGTGACCGTCGATGTCGAAACACGTCGTAAGATGGAATCTCATATACTCCTCGTCAGGCATGTTCTTATCAAATGAGTAAGTCTTGATACCCCCGCACGGGTAGTAACCACCACTCTCATCCCGCAAAAGAATAACTGGGCCACAACAGGGGACTTTCATACCGAGGTGCCAATCGATTGCCCAGTACTTCTCTTGGAACGTGACCGCCCTTCCAACAACCTTTGGCGTAGAGAGCCCTGAGGAGCACGCAGCTGCATAACACTGCATCCAACACCGACGCAACACACGGAACAAACAGAGGTTAAGAAGAAGGGGCGGTGGAACGCGTCCAGAACCGGTGACAACAGCAAGCTGCCGACAGTCAGCAGTACTGGTGCCTTGTCAGGCATCACACAAAGCACTTGTCTCCACCAACGAACGTTCGCAATGGCAGCAGCCAAACGGGAAAGCACTTGCCTCCACTGCGGAATCCCTACCACTGTAACGGGGAAGGACCGTTCCCATCGTGCCCATGGCCAGTGCAAAGGGCACTTATCCAAGCACGCCAACCTGCGGTTTCCCTTAACGGGAAAGCGATGGCCAGTCCGCAGCAGAGCACTGTAAATCCAAGCATCAGATCGTCCGGCGTGGCTGAGGCGCCAGACCATTGGATGGCACAGTAAAACTGATGAACATCGGGGCAGATGCTGCAGCAACCGAGGAACCCAGCATCAGAGGGACCACAGAAAGATTGACGAACAATGGGGCAGCATGCAAGGCAGGGGCACATCAGCGTCAGTAGCTGCTGTGCCGAAAGCCTGGATGGTCCGGCACCTCGACGACGCCGGACCATCTGATGGTCCGGCGCCTCGACGACGCCGGACCATCTGATGGTCTGGTGCCTCGACGACGCCGGACCATCTGATGGTCTGGGGCCTCGACGACGCCGGACCATCTGATGGTCTGGCGCCTTGACGACGCCGGATCATCCGGTGGTCTGACGCCTTGACGACGCCGCACCATCGGGAGGGGCAGCAACAACAGGGACCCAACTGAGGGACCCCGCATCAGAGGGGCCACAACAACAGTGACGATTATTGGGGCAGATGCTGCAGCAACTGAGGAACCCAACATCTGAGGGACCACAAAAAGATTGACGAACAATGGGGCAGCATGCAAGGCAGGGGCACATCAGCGTCAGTAGCTGCTTTGCCGAAAGCCTGGATGGTCCGGCGCCTCGACGACGCCGGACCATCTGATGGTCTGGCGCCTCGACGACGCCAGACCATCTAGGCTTTCGGCACCATCTGCAAATGAGGGATTGTACAATACTGACCGCTGTGGCATGTAGACGCTGTTGCTGTTGCAGTAGTTACTGAGGATCCAGCATCAGACGGGCCACAGCAAAATAGATGAACATCAGGGCAGATGCTGCAGCAACTGAGGAACCCAGTATCAGAGGGTCCACAAAAAGTTTGACGAACAATGGGGCAGCATGCAAGGCAGGGGCACATCAGCGTCAGTAGCTGCTGTGGCGAAAGCCTGATTGGTCCGGCGCCTCGATGACGCCGGACCATCTGATGGTCTGGCGCCTCGACGACGTCGGACCATCTGATGGTCTGGCGCCTCGACGACGCCGGACCATCCGGTGGTCTGGTGCCTTCACGACGACGCACCATCGGGAGGGGCAGCAACAACAAGGACCCAACAGAGGGACCCAGCATCAGAGGGGCCACATCAACACTAATGAACATTGGGGCAGATGCTGCAGCAATTGAGGCCACAGCATCAGAGGGACCATCTGATGGTCTGGCGTACCTCGACGACGCCGGACCATCTGATGGTCTAGCACCTCGACGACGCCAGACCATCCAGGCTTTCGGCACCATCTACAAATAAGGGATTGTACAATACTGACCGCTGTGGCATGTAGACGCTGTTGCTGTTGTAGTGGCAACTGAGGGCCCAACATCAGAGGGGCGACAGTAAAACAAATGAACATCGGGGCAGATGCTGCAGCAACTGAGGAACCCAGCATCAGAGGGACCATAGAAAGATTGACGAATAATGGGGCAGCATGCAAGGCAGGGGCACATCAGCGTCTGTAGCTAATATGCCGAAAGCCTGGATGGTCCGGCGCCTCGACGACGTCGGACCATCTGATGGTCAGGCGCCTTGACGACGCAGGACCATCCAGGCTTTCGGCGCCTTCTGCAAATGAGGGATTGTACAATACTGACCGCTGTGGCATGTAGACACTGTTGCTGTTGCAGTAGCAACTGAGGAATCAACATCAGAGGGGCCACAGTAAAACAGATGAACATCGAGGCAGATGCTGCAACAGCTGAGGAACCCAACATCAGAGGGACCACAGAAAGATTGACGAACAATGGGGCAGCATGCAAGGCAGGGGCACATCAGCGTTAGTAGCTGCTGTGCTGTAAGCCTAGATGGTCCGGCGCCTCGACGACGCCGGACCATCTGATGGTCTGGCGCCTCGACGACGCCAGACCATCCAGGCCTTCGGCACCATCTGCAAATGAGGGATTGTACAATACTAACCGCTGTGGCATGTAGACGCTGTTGCTGTTGCAGTAGCAACTGAGGACCCAGCATCAGAGGGGCCACAGTAAAACAGATGAACATCGGGGCAGATGCTGCAGCAACTGAGGAACCCAGCATCAGAGGGACCACAAAAAGATTGACGAACAATGGGGCAGCATGCAAGGCAGGGGCACATCAGCGTCAGTAGCTGCTGTGCCGAAAGCCTGGATGGTCCGGCGCCTCGATGACGCCGGACCATCTGATGGTCTGGTGCCTCGACGACACCAGACCATCCAGGCTTTCGGCACCATCTGCAAATGAGGGATTGTACAATACTGACCGCTGTGGCATGTAGACGCTGTTGCTGTTGCAGTAGCAACTGAGGACCCAACATCAGAGGGGCCACAGTAAAACAGATGAACATCGGGGCAGATGCTGCAGCAACTGAGGAACCCAGCATCAGAGGGACCACAGAAAGATTGACAAACAATGGGGCAGCATGCAAGGCAGGGGCACATCAACATCAGTAGCCGGCAGCCGGTCGATGTGGTAATCGGCAGACGAGAGGAGCAATTGCTGCAGCCGGTAACCTGCAATAACCTTCTTGCCTTTTGGAAACAACTGAAGGTCTTGCCCTCTCAGAAGTAAGCCAGCGTTCTTCTGCTACAATCGTTGTTGGCCACAGCGTCGGCGGTGTGGTTACATTCAATAGGGATGGACACCCCATTAGCCTGCAGCACGTGTAAATGGGCATGGGAGGCCACCAATCATCTGTGGTATACGTGCCCCTTCTCTCCCCTGATGGACATCCCATTAGCCTGCAGCAAGCCAGGTAAGAGGTTTTGGAAATGGTGGGCGGTACACCGGAAGAGGATTCCAAAAGACTTATTTCCATGGGATGAGAATTGGGTCCTGCTGGGCCTCTTACCTGTGGGAGTGGCTTGCTCAGTGGGCTGGGCCCATTCTCTCCCCTCTTAAGTGTCGGTCTGGTATATAGCCGTGGCTTATGCCATTGGCGTCAAGATGTAGAAACTTTGTTTCTTAATTGTCTTCACAAGCTGCTGGAATATCCCTTGAAGGAACAAGAGATAAGGCCAGTGATTTGGGATGCTGGGCTTGGCCTCTGATTTTGGAGCTAGGATTTTCTGTTAGCTCATCATTTGCTATGCGATTCAAAGTTTTAATTTTTGGAAAGTTATTTGGATGGGACGCTGGACCCGGTTTCCAGCAGGTAGTAACTTTGACATTTCACGCATTTAGTTTGGACTGTCGAGCTGGGCTCGTAAGCTAAACTGGCTGAGGCTGCCAGGATAACTCCGGGTAGAATTGTGAGGTCCCGGCCTCGTCCCATTGTTTTCTTGTGCAATAAACGACTTGAACTTTCCAAAAAAAAAAAAAAAAAAAAAACAATCCTGGATGGTCCGGCGCCTTGCCGACGCCGTACCATTGGAGGGCCAGCATCAGCAGGGAACCAGCATTAGAGGTACCCAGCATTAAAGGGACCACAGCAACGCTGACAGACATTGGGGCAGCAGGGACCCAGCAGATGGAGCCAGCAATAGAAGGACCCAGCAGAGGGACCCAGCAACAGTAGGGACCCAGCAACAGAGGGACCCAGCAACAGTASGGACCCAGCAGAGGGACCCAGCAACAGAGGGACCCAGSAGCAACAGAGGGACCCGGCAGAGGGACSYAGCATCAGAGGGACCACAGCAACGCTGATGAACATTGGGGCAGATGCGGCAGCAACTGCGGCCACAGCATGTACAGCGGCACACGAACCCTTGCTTACATGCCACAACAACAGCGGGACGCAGCAGCGGCCGCAACTGTTGTGCCGAAAGCCTGGATGGTCCGGCACCTAAACGACGCCGGACCATCGGAGGGCCAGCATCAGCAGGGAACCCAGCACAGGGACCCAGCATCGGAGGGACCACAGCAACACTGACGAACATTGGGCCAGCAGGGACCCAACAGAGGGACCCAGCATCAGAGGGACCATTTAAACATTGACGAACATTGGAGCAGCAGTGAAGGCAGGGGCACAGCAGCGTCAGTAGCTGCTGTGCCGAAAGCCTGGGTGGTCCAGCGCCACGACGATGCCAGACCATCTGATGGTCTGGCGCCTCGACGACGCCGGACCATCTGATGGTCTGGCGCCTTGACGACGCCGGACCATCCGGTGGTCTGGCGCCTTGACGACGCCGCACCATCGGGAGGGGCAGCAACATCAGGGACCCAGCAAAGGGACCCAACATCAGATGGGACCACAACAACACTGATGAACATTGGGGCAGATGCGGCAGCAACTGCGGCCACAGCATGTGCAGCGGCACATGAACCCTAGCTTACATGCCACAGCAACAGTGGGACGCAGCAGCGGCCGCAGCTGCTGTGCCGAAAGCCTGGATGGTCCGGCGCCTTCACGGCACCGGACCATCGAAGGGCCAGCATCAGCAGGGACCCAGCAGCGGGACCCACCATCAGAGGGACCACAGAAACATTGACGAACATTGGAACAGCAGGCAAGGCAGGGGCACAGCAGCACCAGCAGCTGCTGTGCCGAAAGCCTAGAAGGTCCGGCGCCTTGACGACGCCGGACCATCTGATGGTCTGGCCGCTCGACGACGCCGGACCATCTGATGGTCAGGCGCCTCGACGACGCCGGACCATCTGATGGTCTGGCGCCTCGACGACGCCGGACCATCTGATGGTCTTGCGCCTTGACGACGCCGGACCATCCGGTGGTCTGGCGCCTTGGCGACGCCGCACCATCGGGAGGGGCAGCAACAGTAGGGACCCAGCAGAGGGACCCACCATCAGAGGGACCACAGCAACACTGACGGACCTTGGGGCAGATAGGGGTGGAAAACATACAATGGAAAAAGCCACAACACAGACAAAAAAAAAAAGGGCCTCCGTACCGTACCTTTGGATGCCATCTCCGCCTGCGGGGTGCCGTCCCGATGGGGAGCTGTGTGGTTGTGCTGAACTATCGCGGTGGTGACCTTGAACGGCTATGTCGCAACGCCAGTTGATGCACGACGCAGCTGTGGAGTGGTCTCATCGGCGCTTTGGATTGCCCTCGTAGGCGCTATGGAGTAGCCTTGTCGGCACTTCGACTTCGCCACAGCTCCACCTTTCACACAGGCGAACAAGGGACAATGCAACATGTCGCTAAATGAAGTATCAACGACCGTGTAGAAACTCCGCCTGCCACAATGCCAGAGGGCACCAGTCACCGTCGTGCCTTCTTAATGTCGGCTGGATGGTGGATTGATTGATTGATTGATTGATTGATTGATTAATTGATTGATTGATTGATTGATTGATTGATTGATTGATTGATTGATTGATTGATTGATTGATTGATTGGTTGATTGGTTGATTGATTGCGAGGAAACCAATCAAACAATCAAACAATCAATCAATCAATCAATCAATGCCAATCAATCAATCAATCAATTGGATACTTTGTCCCCGTTTTTTATTGATTGATTGATTAAAATTCATTGATTGATTGGTTGCGAGCCAATCAATCAAACAGTCAATCAATCAATCAATCAATCAATCAATCAATCAATCAATCAATCAATCAATCAATTAATCAATCAATCAATCAATGCGATCCAAACAATCAATCAATCAATCAACCAACCAATCGCTCAATCAATCAATCAATCAATCAAATTC